AATGTACGATTGTTTCCTGTATCATTCAAGTCCCTATAAAGTAATGTTAATGTATGATTGTTTCCTGTATCATTCAAGTCTCTGTAAAATAATGTATGATTGTTTCTTGTATCATTCAAGTCTCTATAAGGTAATGTTAATGTACGATTGTTTCTTGTATCATTCAAGTCTCTATAAAGTAATGTTAATGTATGATTGTTTCTTGTATCATTCAAGTCTCTATAAAGTAATGTACGATTGTTTCCTGTATCATTCAAGTCTCTATAAAGTAATGTTAATGTATGATTGTTTCCTGTATCATTCAAGTCTCTATAAAGTAATGTTAATGTATGATTGTTTCCTGTATCATTCAAGTCTCTATAAAGTAATGTTAATGTACACGTTTTACAAGCCTCAGAAATCAACAGTTAATAAGTGGTGCTTGGCCAAGACTTAATAAATAGATATTTCAAACACACCACTATTCTAAGAATCAGTGCTTTAAATATAAAATCACACAAAATGCTAACAATAATTACAAATTAGAAAAACAATCGTTAAGAGGAAAAACAGTTCATTTGTAAGATTATACAAAAGAACTGTATTAAGCACATCTAAAAAATATGACTGATCAAGTAAGAATCTGCAATAATCTTTTGATAATTAATAAATATATCTTGTACATCTCGGTCTAACTGATTTTGATAATTATTAAATATATCTTGTACATCTCGGTCTAACTGATTTTGATAATTAATAAATGTATCTTGTACATCCCGGTCTAACTGATTTTGATAATTAATAAATATATCTTGTACATCTTGGTCTAACTGCTTTTGCCAGTCTTGCATGTCATAAGCTTTTTATTTTCTTGCCAGATCACAAGATTACATATCACACAACTAAAAACTGAGCATTTATTTTACGTAATTGTACATGAACTTAGTATCCATATGTATTTACTAATGGGACTTTGTGTTAGTTTCTTAATATAAAAACTGTCTCATTTTAAATTTTAATAGATGGGTGTTAATCTAGTGTTAATTTTCTCACATACCTTGATGATCTATTTGTTGAAGTAATGTTTTCTAAGTTTACTGACAAGTATGGTTACTGTGGCTTTACGTGCCTAATATTTCCTAATTGGATAATGGGTTGTTTATTTGCAATTAAGCACAAAGCTACACAATAGGCTATCTGTGCTCTGCCCACCACGGGTATTGAAACCTGGTTTCTAGCATTGCGAATGCACACATACTGCTGTACCACTAGGGGGCTGGAATAATGGACAGAAATTCTATCATACTTAAACATGCGAGTTATTTTATTGTGTGATAATGTTTTAATTCTGCTTTTATAGAATAAAGAACTGTCAGATTTACGAGAAACAATTGGAGCAAGGAGGTCAGAGTCAATGCGAGAAGCCTACGAACGAGCATGTAAAGAAGCTAACACTGGATCACCAACTCGTGGTGAGTCCATTACTTTGGGCAAAGAGATTAAAGCTGTTAACATTAAAGAAAAGTTTGAGAATGGAGCTTTGGATCAGGAGAACAATGAAAAGATGGAGAGGGCTCGCAGGGAGAAGGAGGAGGACTTGAGCATTGTCAGTGAAACAAGTAAGTAATAGAGTTTATCATTCTAGGCCATCAATGCAATGAATAGTGTTATTGATAATATTGTTATTGCAATGAATATTGTTATTGATAATAACAAATTTGAAATGGTGTAATTTTTAGTTTTGTTGTTTGTTTTACCACATTTTGTTTTCAATTCTGGTAGTTTGATTTCCTTAGACAAATTTTATTACATATGATAAGAACTTAAAGTAACAATACCTTGACATAAAATATAATGTTACAATTTTTGTATACAATAAATATAGAAGAAAAATCCAGTTCTCAAAACATTAGACTTGCATATTGTACAAAATGTTCTAGAAACTTACCGGATGTCATTGTATACAACACGGAAGCTAGCTTTAGAAACGTAATGGGTTACTTTGTGTACCATGTGTAAGTTAGCTTTAGAAACTTAATCACAATGTAACCCACCATGTGTAAGTTAGCTTTATTGAGTTTCTCACAATGTAACCCT